AAATTCCATACAGCTAATATTGCCTTTTTACTCAATTTATAACTTAATATAAATGCCAGGAGATGGTTACTTTGAATCAAAATTTTAAAATTAAATTTAGATAAAATCTGACTGAAGAATTAACCCATATTTAGTTTAGTTATATAAGCAACAAATATGATTTTTGTGTAAACTTTTATAGATTCAAAAGGTGCAGGAATTTAAGGAATTGTACATATAATCAACATTTTATATTTCTGTAAAGAAAACCAAAGAAAGTTGTTATCCATAACTTATTCTCAGCCATGTGGACTTTGAAGGTTTTACAAATATAAATGTTCTATTAAATAAGAATATTCAATAGAAATCCCTATAATCAGTCTCAAGTCTTGTGCATTAAGAAGAGTAGACTATGAGATTTTTACTAATCAAACTAATTTTTAATAAAAACAGTTTACATGCAGAATACAAATATTTAGCATTCACTAAAACAATCTAAACTCACAGAGACACATTATATATAAGTAGTAATAAATCTAATTTATAGACATGAAGAAGTCTTATATAGCAAACAATATAAAACTTATATCTACTTTGCAATTTCATTTGATGTATAGTCATTATTCCAGTATGAAAACCCACACTATTTTCCTTTCAGTCAAATCAGTAAAATACTCCTTGTCTATGATTAGACAGTATTTTAAAGCATTAGACCGTAGTGTCTCTTCTTGATTAAGTGATAATGATAAAAAAAATAAAATATAGTAATTAGAAAAAAATTTAGGCCAAAACATGTTACTCAATATAAGTAAAATATTTTTTTCTGTTTTTGCTTAGGCCAGCAAGAGATGAATTAGAAAATGAATATAAAAAAAAAAAATTATGTTTGCCTGAAATTGTAACAGACTGATAAGCACATAAGAAAAAAAAACAAATTTGTTTGAGACAAATGAATACAAAGTTATATAAGATTCTTTAACTCTTAATGTCTTTGTAAATAAACACAAATTCTCCATATATCAAACTGAACCATTCTTCCCATTTTAAAAGTCACTCTATTGAGCAATGCAACTCAATGTTTGTACTGAACAATTTTTACTTTGAATGACATTAGAACTTTTAGAAATCTTTAAGGAAATATTATTACTGTCATTTAAGTATTAAATGAAGCTATAATTTTGATGTAGACCCACTGATAAAATGATAAGACATCAGAATGGCATTGCAATAAAAAAAAAAAAAAAAAAAAAAAAAACAAGCTTTAGAATTTTTTAGGAAGCAATTGCAATAAAAGAAAAGTGTACAAGCTACAAATATTATGTAAGGGAATAAATTTTATATTGGGTAAATTAAAAAAAAATGATCTGGTTATACTGAATATATGACTGAATATATAACTGAACATCAAATAAAATTGTTTAATCTATATCAATTAGTTATTTAAACATTTTTCAAGCAAAAGTAATTGAAGATAAAACATATCTGGAACAATGGATATAGTATTAGCATAAACTTTATAAAATGCATGAAAAGTTAATATATGATTTTATCAAAGTTGTTGCAATCCTAAATAAATAGTAATTTAATAATTTGGCAAGAGGAGGTTTATCAGTTAGCACTGTGACATAAATCAGATAATGAAAACAAATATCTTGGACCAACATGTAGCATACTTCAATCAATGGTTAATACTTTTCTATTTTAAAAGGTATGAATGAAAAAATATCTCATAACTTATAAAAAATATAAAGAGAACAGAAGTTCAGAAATCTGGGTGGGCAGAGATACAAATTCTATATTTTATTTTCCAAGGGAAAATAATATATTTTTCCTCAAGGAAAGAAATGTGCCTAAATATCTCCTACTTCAAGATATCCTAAGCAAAATATAAGCACAGATTTCTGGTGGCTGTGTGTCATCTAGCCGCCAAATATCTTTTACTGAACTCTGATTAGTAAACTAAGATGGTTGAAATAGTCTTTCATTTTGTTTTTTGTATTGGTCAACAGTTTTTAAGTAATAAAGATATTTCAATCAAGAGGATCTATACATGTTTAAATATGTGTCTTGCATTCAGCTAAAGGTAGACTAAGAAATAGAGAAAGAATAAGGATCATGCAGAGGTAAATGATTAAACAGTTTCTTAATACGTTTTAGATACATTCTTGTTGATGTTGCTTCAGGTGAAAATGAACAGCATGAAAAAGAAAATGAAATAAGATATTGCTTCAAAATCTTAGCACTGGATACAAACAATATAAAAATTAAAAATAGTTAACTTGAAATTAACTACATAAAATTCTCATAAGGTAATGCATGATTGGATGGGAAAAATGAATCTGATTAACTCAACTAAGAGAAAACTCCCAAGAGCTAAAACAATTTTAGAGAGAGGTTGCAAGATATTTTTATAGGTATAAAATGTAAATATAGAGTAAGATTTAATTTAAGGGGGTATAATACAAAGAAAAATGATTATATAAATGACAGATAAAACTATGCAATCTGTTATTAATAAAATGTTTTCTCACATATGGAGAAGAATTGAATCCAAAGATTAACAAGTGCACATTATTTAATAGTCTGAGATGAAAAGCAGTAAATATCAGGAAAAAAGTCAAAAGCAACTACAAATACAATACAGAAAAAAAGACAAGTGCTTGCTTTATGCTCAGCCAATTGCAACGTGAGGAAGTAATTGAAGCAAATATATCATAAAATAGTGGTTTCTTTAATATGAAAATTTATATATATATATATATATATATATATATATAGGTACAACTGGACTGGACAATATTCACTAAAATTCAACAAAAACCATCAATAACACATTCTACACAAATACAAATGTAGTAAAGTTCAAACTGATGCATAATTCTATTTAATTTGTATGTTAAAGCTGTCATTGGTGATAAGTGATGCTGTTATCACATTTTTTTCTCAAACTAACAGATAATTTTGTTTGATGTCTTATAATTTGTACAGCATAATCTTCATAATGTGAAAGTTAAAATATATACATTCACTTCTTTATAAATATGTAAATATGTTATATGTAATAAATAAGTTAGCTTCTCAATAAACTGATTACTTTTAAGAAAATATTATGGAAAAAATAAAATAATGAATTTAAGTATGAAAAAATGTATAAAAAGCAAGATTTTCATTAGCATGCCTGACAAAAGTCAATTTTTCATTCAACATTTGCTTTTAATATGATCATTCATTCATATTACATAATTATTTGCTGATTAAAATCAAGTTTCTGAAAATATTACCAACATTGATGGATCAGTTATTTTACATTTTAAAATGGACAGTGATGTGATGACATTAGCAGATAAGAGAAACATACATGCAAACATTTAGATATTTCCAGTCAACTTTGGTATGAATATTGGCATGTATATACATACTAAACACATATTGTTAAGAACACGTAACATGACATGTAAAGGAAAGTGTTTGAAACAAGAAAACAGGTATATCAAAGATATATTCTAAATTTATAAATATAAAAAAGTAAAAAATATGAAAATTATATATAACTTATCTTGTTGAGCTTATAAATAAATCATTCATGATAAGAATAGCATCAAAAATTCCCCCAAATCAGAACTTATAAAATTATGTTAAAATTAACAAAACTTATTCAAAATAAAAAATAAACCTACAGCCTAATATTGTGCCCATTAAATGATAAAAAGTCAGATAATACTAATGATGGTTTAATTTGAAAAGAGAAATTGAAATAAAGCACAAGTTTACCTTGAAGTTTTTGAAAACCTATTTCTTTTCAGTATTGTCTTTTATGGAAAGATTTTAAATGATTATTAAAACTGAGAAAAAGAAAATACAATAAAACTACCAATTATAAGGAAAATAACCTTCCTTATATCAAAATGTTTTTTATTTGTTAAACAGAAATGTGTTCCTTTATTTGTTCTTAAAAGCTTTAGAATTCAATAATCTAAGAAAATAATCAGTCCCTGAAAAATATTTTCTTCATTACAGATGCAATAAATAAATTTTATCTTGTGAAACTATTATTTTCAGAGTTTTAAAGAATATAGTATTAAAGTTAATTGTAATGTGCTTATGAAACACTTAGGTTTGAAACAGTTGGCTAATTAACACCATATAACAATGTGGGTTACACAGTATTTTTGCCTAATTTTTATTCATTTGGAAGAAAATGGTGTTAATCACTCAAGGACATGACTAAATACTCTATTAAAAGTAGCATTTACTGTCAATATGTTTTATTAATATTATCTACCTTTATTGTATCTCACTGACTTATTTCTTATATAGTCTCTTCTACAGAAACAAATCTTTTTCCTTCTTTAAGTGACCACTGCGAAATGACCATCTTATTGCTGTTATTTAATATTCTACTGTAAGATCAATATGAAATGCGCCATCAAATGAGGAAAAGTTAATAGTGTCAAGCACTCAAATATAAAAATGAATTTTTCATGCAGTAAATCTACCAAGTAATGTTAACTGATCAAAAATATTGAAAAAGTTACAATTCAAAATTATTTTGGATCAAGAATAAGTCAAATTCAAATGTAACAGCGGGATTCAATAAGTGTAGCCATCTCTGGATCAGTAATATTTTAAGTACACAGGTAATCAACCTATCTTAAATGAAGCATTTCCTGACTTTAAATTTGTTTAAGAAAACTTACTAGAAACTCTTTACTAGTATTACAAGGGGATGCTGAAAATTCTTAGCCCAACCCACAACCAAATATCTAACTTTTTTTTTTTTTTTAAATGGAATATTTTGTTTGTTGTCACTAGGCTGAGTACTTTCCAAAATCCCTCATTGTTTGCAGAAATATTTAAATAGAAAAAAATTAAATATTTGCAAATATTTGAAACAAATCAGTGAAGTTAAAAAAATTGAAAAGGAAACACAATAGAAAGATAACCATGACACTAACAACAGGACAACAACAAAAAAGGAAAGACATACAGACAGAATGGACAGGAACAACTAATATGATTACCTTTATGTACAAATGCTGATCTATGAATGGCTGAAATAGAACAAATGTAAATAGGCTTAGTGATGGTTTCAGAGGAAAAGAGAAATTAGTATACAAAGAGCACAGTTATCAATGAGGATTATTTATTGCTTAGCAGGTGGACAATGGTCAGAAGAAATAAGAAACAATAATTGAAACAATTTAGAAATACATCTCACTAGAATATTTTTCATATTGTTTAAGTCTATTTCTAACAAAAAAGAAATCACTTGAGATACCTTTCATACCTTATGAAAAAAAGTGAACTATAGAGGAGAAATTAGAAACAAATCATTTGACTAGTATTTTGAAAATATATAAACAAATACCACCCCAAGCCAATAATGAGAGAAAGTACCAAACCAAATTACAAATTTGCTTTAACACTCCTGTAATATTTTGGACTTTTCTTTATCTTTGTTTGAATATATAACATTTTAGCCAATATATTTTATAGTCTTACTCAAGAACATATTGTCCCCAGTTTTCCTTTCTTAATATCAGCAACAGAGTTGCAAGTGTTAAGGTTGAATGTTACTAATGGCAACAAGAGAACATTAGACTGGAAGTATCTTATCAAATCTTATCTTTTGGTTGATTTGTGAACAGCATCAACAAGCTCATTGCACCATTCAGATGGCCTCATGTAGGCGACTAATATAAAAAAAAAAACTTTAATTTATAAAATTATTCTCTCTGACCATGGCATTAATGTCTAAACTTAATTTTTATATGCATGTATGTATATAAAAAACTTCTACACAAAGTTTTCTTCACCTTATTGGTTTTCCATCATTACTAACTTACCATTGTATCTGATCATTTTCTATGCCACAACTGCATGGTATGTTTTATACACAGATTGTTATATTTTCCCTTGAAGTACCAACATTTGTGAGGAAGTTACATAATATCATTTTATTATGAAATTTACTCAATGCAAATTCTTTTGGATCTTTTCAGAGTTTTTTTGTTTGTTTTTTCTTCTAAAAATATTTTAAAGACATATTTGTGAGAATTGAAAGTGGAATGGAAAATATAAAGAAAAGCATTTGTTTTTAAAGCTGGATCTAGGTGGTGTCAATTTTGCCTTGAAGAAAGGTTATACATTTTAGAATAAACAAACTAAAATTTCTCAATCACTTGATAGAATTTGGATCCTGAACAGGAAAGTGGTGAATAGTTCAAGTGAATTATTACTTTCTGAAGCAGCCCTTTTATTTTCTTCAAGCAGTCTTTTTATTTTTCAGTACTGATAAAGTTCTTTTATACAGCATGTCTTTGTAATGCACTGATTCAATATCCATTAACAGTATTAAATATTTTGTTATTCCATCAAACAAAATTAAACTCTTTATTCAATTTCAGTTCTTTCTGAATTAAATTAATTCATCAGATTACGCATCATCTCTTTCTGCAGAACTACAAAATATTTTGATTGTATTCAAGTTACATATTTGAATAAGAAGGTAAAGTCATAAATGGAATTAAAATTTGAAAACTATCCTAAACTTAGTATCATTCATGAAAATAACCCATAACTGAAGTTCTTCAATATAACAACATGTGCCTTAGTATTGGTAACAGAAAGACGATAAACTAGATACACACAGTATGAAGGATTGCCTTGTCAGTTGGGGTCAAGAATATACCAACTACGTCCCTGTACAGAGGGGCACTATCCCCTTCCCACTCGCAAAAGGGAAAACCTGTTTGCTGTAATTCTGTCTACCTTTTTGCTTCAAATGCAAGCTGAACCTATACCTACCTTTTTGATTCTTATGCAAATTCACTGTCTACCTTTCTGGCTCATGTAAACAGAGTTTTGGTTCCTACCTTTTTTGATACTTGAACAGACTACTGAATAAAATAAAAAATGTGAATTAATTTCTAAGTGTAGACATGAGAACAAGTACTTTCTCTGTCATCTATCAACTGACTAAATAATCATAGACTCAATCATATTTATATGTCTAGTACCCAACACAAGGATTACCTAAATGTGAAACTATCAGTCACACATACATTTTCTCTATATTCAATTTTACACACACAGGCACACTCACAAAGTAATGCCATATATTTATAACCCCATGGAAATTTCAAATACAGAGAGCACAAAAGAGCAGGTTTTCAGCTTTAAAAAACATTGTTTTTTTTATATAGTCACCACCAATGGTTATGCATTTCAGCCATTGATGAACAAGAGCATGCATGCTACACTCAAAAAATCTACACCAGTGGAGACAACTCACATATTACTGCTGCCACCGCCGAAATACATTGCGCCTCCCCACTAACTATGCTTGCATTCTCTGTTTGGTCTCTAAATATTCAGCAAGCATTAGGCACATTTTTTTTTCACATGTTTTTGATTGATTAATGTTTTAACAGTTATTTAATCTCAAAATTATTTTTTTAATAAATATATTTTGCAAACAACCCTTCAAGTGATTGGTTCCATCCCTCTCCAGTTATGCCTTTAGAATTAAGTTATTTAGAATTATAATTTGTGGTATAGACTAACCTCCTTCAAGTAGGCTAGATAATCTTTACTTTTATCTTTTTGAATAGGTTCACTAAACTAGTCATGTCATCCTACAATCAGTTAGAAAATGTTTTATAGTGAATGCCTCCTGTACATTCAGGAGGATGTTCACATTTTTTTTAGGGTCTGTCTATCAGTTCCCCACAGTCTGTGTGTGCAACCACTTTGAGTATTTAAATTGTTTTATTACATTTAACTCCGATATTTAATGTGATGTATAAAAATAACCTTCTGTCAAAGATAATGCCCAAGAATTTGTATTATTCCACTATAGGAGTATCAGAACCATCAAGTTTTAAATCAGGATTGTGGTGTAGCTTTCAGAGTTGACAAATGTATACATTGAGTTTTTGTTTTTGGAGAATCTGAATCCATTCCTGTAGCTCATTTATTAATTTTATTGAGATATTGGCACTTGATTGTATGGATATTTTCTGATCTATTGCAGATTAAGAAATCATCAACATGCAATGAACGGTCTGGATTCAGGCATTTTATGGCATCATTTATTTTAACATTAAAGAAGATAACTGATAAAATACTCCCTTGTGGTACATCCATATCTTAGTCATATTAATCAGAAAGAGTTGTGCCAACATGAACATTGAAAATGTGGTCTGTTAAAAAGCAATTAATAAAGATTGGCAATCTTCCTTTGTGACCCATTTTGTTTAGATTTTGTGTGATGCCATGTTTCCATGTCATATCATAGGCTTTTTTATGTCAAAGAACATTGCTGCCAAGCCTGAACCAGCTGGCCTATTGCACATTTGTTCTTTCTAAAACTGGACTAGAAGTTTGTAATTTTGTTCTGTAGAAAGACCGTCTAACTTTCTCTACACTATTATTGAAACATGGACTCATCCATTTGCTATGAGTAGAATGACTGCTCATGGAACAGTGGTAAAAAGTGGTTTGCAAAGGTGTAGCACTTTCCAATCATACACTTTTTATACTGAACTACTGTATTCTCAATCTATGTTCTCATGTGATTAAGCTCTTCTTCACATCACCTTTTGTTTACAGTGTTTTCCTTACAGTCCTACTAACCAGCAACTATGAGCATTATACAAACTTTATAACAGTTCAAGGAACCAGGTAACCAGGTAAGTCTATTATTAATTATCCATTTGAGAATTTTGCAAAGACAGCTGGTAAGTGCAAACGGCTCATTGTTTGAAGGATTTTCTAGGTCTTTGTCAGTCTTTGGAACTGGAATCACAGTAGTTTATTTCCAGTGACTGGGAATATTGCCACTGATCCATATATTGTTATATACCTCAGTTGAAGGAAATGTCTGGTAAGTTTTTCAGGAATTCAGAGTGAATTTTGTTAGGGCCAACGGCAGAGTTATGCCATTTATTTAAGGAGTTCAGTAGTTCTGATAAAGAGAAAGGTTGGGTGTAATCTTCTTGGTTGCTTGAGTAAAAGTTTTGTTTAATGTCCTGGAATTCTTTACAATAGATATTTGATGGGGAATATTTTGAAAGTTTTTTGGCTAATAGATTTGTGATATCTTTTTTTTGTTAGTAACTTTAGTGCTGTTTTGTAATAGATGTTTCAAGGGAGTACTTTTGTATTTACTAGGAATTTTGTGAATCCTAATACAAACAGATTTATTTTTTTGTGTTGGATTTGGATAAAAAGTTTTTCCATGAAGTTCACTTGGAGTGTTTAATTGTTCTTCATGCTTTGGTTTTACTTATTTTGAAATGGTTTAGATTTTCAGGGAGTTGAGCGCAGTTTTAATTGGGTGCATTGTACTCTAATAGCCTTTTTAGATTTATCATCAAACTTCATTCTGGCATACTTTGAAGATTTGGGTTTTGATTTTGGTATGCATTGTTCTGCAATAGATAGGAGTGTTTTTTGTAAAGTGAATATGATATGATCTTCATTATTTATGTCTGTTGTTTTTATTTTCTTCTAGGATCAGTTGGATTTGACATTAATTAGTTCTTTAATTCCCAGTCAACTTTTTTCTTTTTACAGTTCCAGCATAGAGTTAGGGTGTCTGTTTATTGCTCTTAATTCCGATTGGGAAGTGGTCACTACTGCCATACCACCAAAATCTGTCTCTGACACAATAACCCAACATAATAAAATAAGAGGTATTACTTCCAGAGTGACTCAAACAAATATAGTGGCTCACTAACAAAATACTCAAAAGATCATTTGCAGAGAGTTTGGAAGATTTCACACAAAATGAAAGTGTGCAATAGGTAGAAAGTATATCAAGAATTAGCAATTAACCTACTTGGGTTGCCTATCCCCACCTTTCCTTTTTGTGAAGGTGGCATTCACATGTAGACTTTTTAACAGTACATGTCATGGGTGCAGATAGTAGCAGTAATGATCAGTTATTGCAGTCATTTCCCTGGGTACTGGTGGTTATGAAAAACATTTACAAGTGCTTACCTACTCTGTGACTCAGCTTTGGTGTAATATCTGATGATATCATAAA